TCTATTTGCTCAGTAAGCACCTTTCAGCATTGTTTTTTTAATATCGAAGTACTAAGAATATTTTAAGTTAATTAATTTAAATGATGTTTTTACCAATACCAAAAGCCTTTCAAAATGCATTATGTTCCAGTCAGTATTTGAAGAGCCTCACGTGTTTTATTCAGAATGCTGAGCTACTTAATGAGCAAAGGACTTCAAATGCCATTTGAAAATATGAAACCTTTATCTTTTAACTTGGTTTTGCTTCCATGCATAATATGGCTCTAAAATCACAGTGGTGATATTTATTAGCTGTCCTTGCAAAACTGTGCGCAATACATCTTTCACATTTCATTGAGAAGAAAAGAAACTTAATCCCACCAGGATCTCCATTATTAGTTCTTCCTCTTGATTTTTTTTCCCCATGGGGATTTTGTGTTGGCTGGATGGTGCTCTGAAATCCCTAGACAGAGCTGCATTTTACAGAGGCAAACTGGAAGAGCAAAAATCTATTTTTGAGTAAAAGGATTAAATCTTATATTTTGTTATTTGGCTCACTAAGTCCAACCTAGGCATTATTGGGTTCATATTCAATATTAGGCAATTCTTTTTTTCCTCACATAGCAGTTTCCCTTCATTTCCAATAAAGTCCTGTTTTTACTTTGTTCCATTACTAACAGTAATTAGCCATTCAATTACCCCCTCTCTCCCCTTGAATTCTTCCAATTCTAAAGAGTACTCTACAACCACATCTTCATGCTGGATCGTCTCTCTTGAAAATGTCAATTAATCATCCGCAAAAATTGAAATATCCCTTTCCATATTCATCACAGATGTTTATTTTTCATGGGCAAGAGTGGCTGAATGAAATATTTGAGAATCAACTTGATGAGAAATTGTTTACTTCTTGAATTGTCCCAATCCTCACTTTGAAGCATAGTGAGGCTTTTAATCTTCAGGTAGTTACCCCGTGATGAAAAATGTCAAAAATGGAGAAATAATTCCAAGGTCACATAACCTGTCATGTTGTTCTAAATAGTGCAACATTACAAAGTGTTTATTCCAAGTCCTTTCTCTATGGGATAAAGAAAATAATGTCCATTTGGCCCTTCTCACCTGTGTCCCTTGTTACAGTGATGTCTAAAAATGTGTCATTTCTATATAAAACCAGCTGTCTTATTTCCAGAAAAATAATGGATTATTTTGTTTCAGTTTTGTTAAGTATGGTCAATAAAAGTATGTAATCTACCAATAAAAGTATGTGAAAGTCAGGACCTAGCTTTTGTCTTCCCTACAGACTCATTTGCCATATTCAAAGTTTAACCTTCACTCTCTAGCAACATTGAATGACACGGGTTTTCCCAAACTGATCATTTTCCTTTCTTATATCTTTTCCTTTGCAACTGAGAGTCTCTCTCTCTGGTATGTACCTCCCTTTCTTCACTGTCCATTTATGTAAATATATACTCTTTCTTCAACACTCTCTGATCCAATGTCATGTTTATGAGACTTTCTCTAAACATTTCTTTCTAAACACACACACACACACACACACACACAAAGACATAGCTGTTTTCTCTCTTCCTGGCCCTCCAATGGCACTTTATAGATTAATTCATTGAATTAGAATTATTTGTTTACACTTTATTCTCTTATGAGATTGTGAAATCCTAGAAGTCAAGGTATATCATTTATTCATTTTTGGATCCCAGATTCCGTACTGCCATGGTAATTAATGGGCACTCCATATGTATTTGTAAATAACTGATTGGATAGTATATGTTGACTTCTGTAAAAGCATTCTTTAAATTCTGGAAAATGATACTATTTTTCTATATTGAGCTTATTATCTATAACCATAATGACCAAAAGTAAGTATGCTATTTTAAATCGACTTACGTTAAATAGACTTATTGTGGTGATCATTTTGCAATATATACAAATACTGAATCATTATGTGGTACACCTGAAACTAATATAATGTTATATGCCAATTATATTTCAGTTAAAAAAGTAGATATGCTATTAAAAGTTGAATTTTTAAAGTTTTTCATGAGACATAAGTAAAATTAAGAATTCTTAACTGAAAAAAGAAAAAAATGTGGTGATGTATAATCTGAATTTATTTGTCAAAATTAACTCATATTTAGAATATAAAATGTCTACAAAGGAGGGACCTGAGTAAAATAAGACTTCTCAACTAAAAGGTAAGTTGAAAGTTAGCTCTTGCGATCTCTTTTTAAAATGAGCCTTCATGGTTAATTTGCAAAACAGAAAGGAGAGTTGAAGTAAACAGAGTTAAGGGCTAAACATCTCTATTCTGATTATTTTAGAGGGGCCTCAGCAACAAGGATTGAGTGTACCTTCCCATACCAATTTGTGAACAGTCTAGAATGACCCAAATTGTATTTTGTACTCTTTTTACTTCATTTTAAACAGAGCCAAGATATCTTCTATTTTGAAAACAGAGCCAAGATATCTTCTATTTTGAAAACAAACAAAAATAGAAACCAAATTATAACCAATTTATAAAATTAGTCATTTAGGATACATAACATTCCGTTATGTTTACTGCTTTCTTCCTTATTACTTTTCTAATAACTACAAAGATTTAATTTTCTGTTAAGATGATTAAAATGATTTTAGTAAGAATGTACCTGGATCCTTGGAAGAGAGGAAGTGTAGTTTATGAGTTCCAAAATAGCAATATTTGAAAACATGTGCATGAAAGAACTTTTGTAAGCATTCTTGGAATGACTTTTCTCCCTAGCTACTCGCGCCCCCACCCCAACTTAAAAAAAAAAAAAGCCTTGGGTGGAGTTAAGAACTCTTTTCAAATCTTAAACAATAAGTGGAAATCCTGAAAATGTATTCTCCTTTATTCAGTGGGGGAAAACACTTTAAAGCTTCTGTCTCTCTCTTTTTTTTTTCTCCTAAGAATTGTTTAGCAAAGGATTTACTTGGCTTCTATTTTGAACCGAAAATTCAGTTTTAACGCCTGAAATATAATGCCATCTGTTTTTCTTCCTCTCCCCCCACACAAAACACAATTCCTTTTTTCAAACATAACAAGTACATGGCCCAAATAACCCAGATAAATATATCAGTTCAACTAAATATTTACTTTAACCAAGGGTAAAATTAAAATGTGCCATAAAAATGTAAATGTGAATGCAAATATAAAACATACAAAGCACATCTATACATTTAAATTTCTTAAGTTCTAATTAAGTCATTTTGTCTTCTCTATATATTTACCAGGGTAGAGGTAGCTATGAGGTGAGAAATGAGGGCACAATACAAACCATGATGGACATTAGCAGGTGGGACCAGGAGCCAGGGGACCAAAGAATCACAGAATCCCTCCTCTGAAGCCAGTCTCCTCAAATCTGTACCACCTGCTGGGCCCACTTACACATCTCCCCAAAGCAGCAAATAGCTGGCATGTGGAATATACTCGAAAATAGAACTGGAATTCAGTAATAATGTATTTTAAACTACTTTAAAAGTGAGAAGTGATATACAAATGTGAAATATCATTATATATTTATATTCAGGGTATTCTGAACTGATTAGTTCTTGTAAATATCATTCTGACTGATCTCTAATGTAAGAAAGGGACTTAATCCCATTTTCAACAAGATTCCCAAGAGAAAAAAATTCATTTTATTTAGGGTTTATTTTGCATTTCAAAGAATGCTTAAAATTCCACTCATCAATCTTTATTACAGCCTAACATTTCTTATATAGCCGTGATAGACTTCAAGAGTATCCTGAAATATGATTCTTTTTGGCCTTATTCAGAGAGACTTGATCTCTAATATCAGCCCCAGCTTTGATTCTAGGAAGTTTATGTGGTGCTAGCTTTTCTAGCCTCAGAAGGAGGATAAGTTACAAGCCATATCAGTGGACACATCCCTAAAATAGCCAGACACATTTCCCTTCATGCCTAATCTTTCCTGTTTCTACTAAAGCCTTCACAGGCCAGGAGTTAAGCCACAACAGAACAGCTCCCAGATCGTCCTGATATGCATTTGCAAAGTAAAAACTAAGGAGCTAGTCTGAGAAGCTAGACTCTGTTATTGGAAAGACATGGGTGATTTTTGACTCCGAAAATTCTTAACATTCCTAATTTTCTGATTTCTCCACTTCAGGATCTGTGTAGAAGAACTGAGATTTGTACACCTTTCAGACATACAACCCTGAAGGTGGTTCTTGCTTCTCCATTTCCCTTTGCCCAGAAGCAACTCCAAAACAATTTTTTTTTTTTTTGCATAGGCTCCACACCCAGTGTGAAGCCCAACATGGGGCTTGAACTCATGACCCAAGATCAAGACCTGAGCTGAGATCAAGAGTCAGACATTTAACCAACTGAGCCACCCAGGCGCTCCTCCAAAATACATTCTTAATTTGTTATGGGGAAATGCTCAACACATCCTATGTGTGTATGTTTCATTGGTGTTTGTGGTTGGTTACCCCTTTACACTGTTGATGGCCTTTCTTGGGCTCTAAACTTATTTCTTAAAGTTGTTTACTATGCATTATGTAAAAAATTGACATTTCATATCTCAACTGTTTTTTATTCATAATGTCTCCTTTCCCTGATATCTACTGAATGGGTTAGACAAACACATGGCAAAGTAAACTAGCCATAATTAAATGACAAATTCTAGCTTACAAATCCTTCAACAAAGCAGAAAAAAGCATATAATTTACAATGTTAAAAAATGATCAATAATATGAATGCAGTTGACTAAAACCATTATTATTCTGGAACACAAATTAAGCAGTAAGAAGATACTTTTTAATTCCCTTCTAATAAAAGCAGCTTATTTTGCATATCAATTTGCACATTTTGTCAAATAATATAACACACTAGATAGTGATGAGTGTTTAGTATCTCCGTGAAGATTTTATGTCAATAACGACTCTCAAAATTTCTTGCCCCTAACTATAATGTAGTACTTTGTGAAAACATAACCGAGCAATGGGCAGAGCATCAATAGTGCCAAAGTACTCACGAGAGGATATTCCCAATATAAGCGTAGTAGGAGCAACAGTAGGGTGTGGTTCCATCACAGCAGTAAGATCTGCAGTCTTTCCCACACTGAGCAAGGCAATCCTCTGCAACATAAACACCGCATATGTCCTTTACAGTTCTGAAATCCCAGCTGCATTAAAAAGTCTTCTATTTCACATCTCACCCTCAAAGACCACTCTTCAGTGCATTTAGATATTCACTTTACGTACTCAGAATTCCAAGACGTGTGTAAGCATCTAAACGAGTCTTCCTTCCCTCCTGGACATAAATCTAGAAGAGGCAAAGGTCATTCTTTTTTGAATTTCCTGATCAAGTACCATAATTGGTATTTAGAATTGTTGAATGAGACAATGAAAGGAGAAATGAATGATCCAACGAATCAGTCATTCAACTTTTTAATACAATTCATTTTTTAACAGAGTTCTTATAATAATTTTGAAATGATAAAGTCTTGACTTGAGGGTAGTACTCCCAATTAACTTCATTTTATGGAAAGTGTGATTGACATGTATAAAGTCAACTGGAGATAATTTTAAAATAATGTATATTTTCATGACAGTGTATTATATGTTATCCTTTCTCTACACTTTTTTATCTTAGTAATTACACTTCGCACACATATGGTCACACAAATGAGTCTGCATATATATCCTGTCCATCCATCTGGATTGGAAGATAATCAGTTAGTTGTAGGAAGAGGTTCCTGTAGATAACTAACTTGTAAATAATTAAGAATTTATTAAATGCCAGATTTAAGAATCAATAAGTTATGAAACAGCACTGTGGGAAGAGGAAAAGGTATTTTCTGAGTAAAAAGGACTTGTTGGAGCTGATAAAACCAAATTACTGTCTTTTTTTCCCTATGTTTTGGGTAATGAAAATTAGACCCAAAATGCTGAATAAAAGTTACCCTGGCTTTTAAAATTCTTTGTGCTACCTCAGTGATTTATGTTCAGATTATCAGTTATACTCGGTGGTATAAATTATAATGGATATGTGAGTTTCAGGTACATGATTAGGAAAACATTAAGTTATAGGCTGGTAATTTAAGTTATGTGCTTAAGAATCACAAAATAAGTCCTTTCCAGCTCATTCTCTAAAGGTAACATCTACCAAGAACTAAATTATAGAACACTTTTGCTTTCCTGTCGAATCATAACTGAAAAGTGCACGATGTTACACTATGTCTGTATGTCCATGGGATTGATTTATCCAGAAAGGAAAATTCAGATTTTGTTTTTAAATCACCTCCCTGGCAGGATGAATTTTGACAAATGGATGTGATCAAAAGTTCATTCACCTTTGTCAGTACTGCATGGCCTTTGTAGAGCAAGTGAAAACATTCGTATTTTTCCCCTCAATTTTATTTCTACCTTAATGTTTTCTTCTGAGATGTCGTAAGAAGAAATGAGAGGAAAAAATAATTACCCTTGTAAGATTCAGTAACTCTACTTAAAACCACTGTTAAATTTTGAAGACAGAAACACAATCTAATGATTTTTTGATAGTGTATGCTTTTTGCAGAGTACATCACACTTTTTAAGACTATCTTATCATTTTCTCAGTGAATTTCTATAGCTCTCATTTTTAGTGCTGTTTAGTGAATTCAAATATTTAGACTAGTTAGTTGTCTCAAGAGGCTTCACAGGGATGTTTTGCCTCATGTTCTTTAAAGTCATTTAGATAGTGGGAGAGCTGAGGTCCCCACTTCTGTCTGAGCAAGACAAAACCTATGTAAGTAGCTTCATGGGGTGCCTTGTGAACGATGCCCATGATAGTGACATCTTATTCTGCTCTCCATGAATATCAAAGATCCAATTACTATTATTGTATTCCAATTACTACTGTTATAAGGACATGGTGTTATCAAAATATTTTGAACCAATGTTACAGGAAACCAAGCCCATTATCATGTAGCCAAGAAGCTGGATTATACCTGCAGCAAACATCAAGATCATGTCACACATTGTTCATTATTTTTTATGGCATTTTCCAGCACTCCTGTCAACTTCCCAGAATTATACAACTGAAAAGGGCAGATTTAATAGTACGGCAAATACATTCACAATCACATTTCCAAACTCAGGATTTGACCACGCCTCAAATCTTATTTTAATGTTAGGTGCTTTCTCCAGTTTATTTGAGAATAATTCTATGAAGATCAGATTTGGAAGATACCAGAGCATTTTCTCACTTGTAAAGAATGGAACATTCCAATTGTTTCAGAAGATAAATGACATTACTTCTAATATTCAAGTTAATATCCTTGACAAATAGCCAGTGGAAACTTTCTTCAGTGACTTTAATTAAAAGCATGATCTGGAAGAAGGTTCTCCAACCCTCACCCCGCCTTAAGGAATGTGTAGCACAGGAAAAGCAACATCTGGCCGCAAGCACTTGCTCAGAAATGGTTCTTGTAAGCTACAGCTGAGGATAAGAAAGGAAGGAAAGGGAGGGACAGAAGTCACCGGCTGAGGCCCGGGGAAGGTAAAACCTTGGCCAAATCCTGTCTTTGCCGCCTGCATTGGGAGTTAGATAATAATGTAAACTTCACTGGGTCTCTTTCCAAAGGTGGTTCCACAGCAAAACATGATGCTTTAGGTAGACAAACTTTGTTCTTACCTCCTTAACGAATGCAACATGAATTTAATGCGTTTGCTTTGGGGGAAAATAATTCAGGCTATGGGCAATGCATCTACTTAGGTTTTTGTCCCATTAAAGCTGGCAATTCATTTAACAGGGTGTCTCAACTAGTATAGCTGCATGGTCTCCCCACTTAACTCCAGTCCTCACTTCCAGCCACATCTCTCAGTTCCAACCAAAATGAATTATGTATTTTTGCAAATAGGTATCTCATGATTTTTGCCTTTGTTCACATTATGTCCTACTCCATTCCCCTATGTCCAAGGCTTCCCTATCAAAGGTTTAGTTCCTAAAATTCCTCCTTAATTCAATTTCTCTGAGCAAATATTTATTTATTTTATTTATTTATTCTTTTAAAGATTTTATTTATTTATTTGAGAGAGAGAATGAGATAGAGAGAGAGAGCATGAGAGGGGGGAGGGTCCGAGGGAGAAGCAGACTTCCTGCTGAGCAGGGAGCCCGATGCGGGACTCGATACCGGGACTCCAGGATCATGACCTGAGCCGAAGGCAGTCGCTTAACCAACTGAGCCACCCAGGCACCCTAATAGCAAATATTTATTGAGCTCTTCTTGTGGGTCAGGTATTTTGCTAGTCTCTGGATATTACGCTGAACAAAACAGACAGACATCATCTTCATAGAGCTTATACTCTTAAGCCAGCGATAAGGTCCCCTCTTGTGAACACCTATCGCACACAACTGTATTCTATGGCACAGCCTTTTACACATGAAAGTAGGCACGCCTTGTCTCCCGGACAAGACTCAGAGCATGGCTTCTGTCCTATACATCACGCAAAATACCTCACTCGCCAAATACTGCATAAATAAGTATGGCAAGCATAAAAGGGCTTCTGAAGCAAAGAGTTCAGGAATTAACACCAAAGAACACGTTAGCTAAACATTTCTTATCAAAGACAGTATGTCAATTCAGTATTACTAGCTTGTGATTACTTTGTAGCTTCCTAGGGAGGGATGCGGGAAGAGAGAAGAAATGAATGGAGGAAAACTTCTAAACTAACCAAACTTGTTGCCAGCCAGCTCTGCAGATTTCCTGAACCCTGGGGATTGTGCACCTAGCACTGCAGGCATAGGAGGAAAGGAAGGAAAAGTGTTCACATTAGAAGCTTTCGGTTTACCACAGGGAACAAAATAGACAAAAGAGTAAGTTGTTGTTCAAGGGCACGACCGAGTAAAGATGAGTGAGGTCGTGTTCTATTTTCTTATTTTTGTTTTCTTTGGATAAACAGAGGCGGTAGAAAGAATCATTGCTTCAAGTGAACTAATAAGATTTTAATATAAAGCTAATATTAATGCAATTGTTTCTTTCAGTCTCTCAAATTCTGAAAACCTCACACACTGTAAGTAAAAGAAATAAGCATTGTAAACAGGTTAGAATGTGGTTTCTCCTCATGAAATAGGAAGTACTTTTCCTACTTTTATAAGTTTTTGTATTTGAAAGTCAGCATTTTCCTTGCAATAAAATATCTTTTAAATAACTTATGGACAGCCACTAATTCACATTTTAGTGTACAAATTGAAAATTTCGATAGAAGTTTCGGGAGTCATTTCGGCAAGGCTGAATAAGTTTGATTCTCTTGATGTTCAGTAACAATGTTGAAGAACATCTTCATTTCAGTTGCAGTATCTTTGTAAGTATCAAAAGCTAAATCAGTGCTACATAAATTTACCTACTGTCTGTGATTTTTGTTCTTGGAAGTGAGAGACATAAAAACACTTTACAAACAACTTTGCTTTTAGCTTGTTTTATGAATACAAAGCAGATGCAAAACCACATGTGTAATTAACCTTATATATGAAAAACCAGTGAAGGGTCATTTTGAGCTCAATCTCAGTCACAAAACGAGAAAACCGCTTTGCTCCATCAATTATTAGCAATGCTCAGGAAGAATAATTAGAAGGAGGGAAATGAAATCCCTTTCACCTATAAACAGTGCTTAACGAAATCAATGAAAACAGACTAGTCTCTGGGTGAATTTAGCCCCTCAAAAACTTTATATTTGAACTCAAAGCATCCAATTACCCAGACTACTACCCTTGAGAATGACCTAAAGAAGAAACCCAAAGGTCTAAAGCTTTTTATTTTGAAATATTCAGAATGTGCGTGTAGCAGGGGCAAGGGGTAGCCTACTCTGAAATGGAAAAGTCACCACATTAGTTTATTTTAAAACTTCAGCAAATACCTCTAATCTCGGGTGCTTTTTAAAGATGCTTTTCTCCCACCCTCAGCCTCTGCCCTCAAACCTCAGATTCCCGAGTCGTGAATAGGATTGGATAACTTTTATGCTATCCAGAGAGTAAAATTCCCTAACTGTGGGACTGGGGTTTTTAAGTTGCTTGCGGAAAGAGAAAGGAAGCGAAAAGGAAAAAAAGGGCAAGTAAAGAAAAGGAACAAAACAAAACAAAACCGCGTGGAAGTCGAGCCGAGGCACCCGGCGCGCTGACTTCTGTGGCTACCCGGCGGGGACCACACAGTCCTGGCCCTCCCACAAAGGTCCCCGTGCGTCTCGCCCTACCCGCGTTGCCCCGAGGGCGACCCAGGCTCAGTCCCAAGTCCCCTTCCCCTCTCCCGCCACCCCAAGCCACTCACCTGCGTAGACAAAGAGCAGGACCAATTTCGGAAGCAAGATCCCTGGACACCCGGGCAGTCTCCACGCGTCCATCCACGCCGGTGGCCGGAGGTTGCGCGCCAGGACAGACGGACAGACAGACTGGAAAGGGGGCTGGGAGCGAAGGGAGAGCCCCAGACGCGGAGGGGCTGGAGGGCGGTCAGAGGGAGAGGGCAGCACTCCCGAGACGGAGGTCGCGGGGAGACGGGGCCATTGCCCTGGGAGCCTTCGAGGGGAGCCCGGGCCGGCCCGCGCGGGGTTGCGCTGGGACCGAGGTCTCTTTGTCTCTGCCCGCGGCGTTCAGGCGGAAGACGAGGCAGCCCGCTCCTGAGTCCTGGGCCACCCGGGCTCACATTTCATCTTCGCGGGTGGCACCGACGTGGGGCTGGGGGCGGGGGTGGCCCCGACTCCTCCCCACCCTCCGGTTCTTCCTTCTGTAGAAAGGGACTCCCTCAGCTAGATGGAACTTTCTCTAACCCTATGTTTTGGCCATCGCTGAGCAGTTTAGCAAGATCCTTCTTCTTCCTGCCCTCTACTCCAGTTTTTCCTTTAGAAACAATAGGTGAAGAAGAGTTTAGTTTTTTTATCTTTAAACATGTGTAGGGAATTTTCAGGGTTGAAGGTACTGAACAAAGAAAGCCAATAAAGAAAGCCCAGGAGAATTGGAAGGTACAGAAACGGTGTAAGGTATCTCTGCTGAAAGCTGATAAAATATTTATTTGTTAAACATCTAAGGCCTTGCCAGTAAAGTCATGGAAAACAAAAAAAGAACATACATGGTCATCACTATTATTAGACACAGTTCTGTAGTTACTGGCCTATGCAATTAGACAAGAGAAAGAAAAAAAGAGTTATAAAAACTGGAAGCAAAATTATCATTTGCAAATGATTTGCTTGTATATGTGGAAAATCAAAGAGAATTAACTCTACAACTCTTAACTAGAGTTAAGTAAAGAATCAATCATTTTCTTTCATGCAAAAAAATCAGAAACTTCTCAGTTTTATGCATGAAAGAAGAAAAAAAGAAATGAATAAGTGAATAAAGACAATTATCTTTACTTATTAAAGAAGCCCCAACATCATAAAGATAACAGATTTCTCAAAATTAATCTAAAAATCTGGGAATTAAACTGAATTTAATAGAAATACCAACATGAGCTTCTTTCAAACCAATCTGATTCTAAAGTTTATGTAGAAAATAAACCTGTAAGAATATCTGTTAAAAAATGAGAGTGATGAATAGGATAAGCATCAATAGAAAATAAATATATTATAACTTCACAATAATTCAAACAGTTTTGATTAACACAAGAATAGATGGGCTCAATGGAACAGAATGGAGAATATAAAAATAGAGATACATACGTACAGAAATTTACTTTATAGTTTTAAAAAAAGACAGTTTTAAAGCAGAAAAGGAAATGATGGGTTATCCAGTGAATTGTGCTGGGGCCTTAAGTAGGCATCTGTGGATTCTCATCTCCTTTCATCAATATCAATTTCATATGAATTAAATATTTAAGCTTGAAGATGCAATTATAAAAATATTAGATAAAAAATGGGAGGATGACATGTAAATAATTATGAAAAAATTATGGAAGTCTTTTCTAAGCATTATAAAAAACTCAGAAGTCATAAAAGAAACAAATTGACCAATCTGACTCCATAAGAATTAAAACTTTCTATATATGATAAGCCACACATTTGACTGGCAAAAATATTTACAATGCATAGGACAAAGTCCTGATCTCCTAATATGTAAAGAACTTTAAGAATCAATAAGGAAAAGAAAGCCAGTAGAAAACTGAACAGGGATATTAATAGAATTATCTATCTATCTATCTACCTATCTACCTACCTACCTATCTTTAGTCTTCTAAACATCCTAACTCCCCAAAAAGAAAAAAAGGTAAAAATCAAATTGACAGTGAGACATCATTTTTCATATATCAGATCAACCAAACACAAAACAAAACAAAACAAAACCCAACTTTTAAGGGAGCAATGTATCAAGATTCAAATGCACATGCAATGTAATGTAATCAGTCCTCCTCTAGGAATTTAGTCCTATACATATGTTGCTGCATGGGTGTAAGAGGATAGGAGGAAAAATCACTTTCAAATAAATATAACCTGAGATCCCTAGTGTGTTCTATGCCTCAGTGAAGTCTTAGCCATCCATCAGTCCCATAAGAAGTCTGATCAGGTCCTTCTCTCTCTCTGTCCCAACAGCTGATTTATCACCAAGTTTTACTGATTGTGCACCTGAACAACACTCAAATATATTTCCATTTTGCTTCTATCTCTGCTCTAATCTAGGCTCTTAAGAGTCTCCATTACAACCAGTATCCCTGCCTCCAAAGGATATTCTCCAGACTGAAACTGGAATATTTCTTCTTAAACTATGGATTTTATCACATTCACTCGCCTGTTTAAAACCCAGTGCATTCTTCTTGCTCTTGGGTTAAAATCCAGACATTTAATCCGTAGTTTTCAGAAAATTTATCACTAGGTCCTGTTGCTCTTAACCTGATCTCAACATTCTGCTGAGGAGTACAATTTTAAAATAACTGTGAGAATTTCTAAATAGCTGGGAGAATAACTGGAGGAAGTTTCAGATATACAGGATTTTGAGTTCTAAAAGAAGATATAGGTGTAAGTCAGTGTTTGCGAAGCTAGACAATGATACTGAAGGTTTTTGGAATGGAAAGATGCTTGCCTCTGCAGATGAAACTGGCTGTAGGACCCTAGGTCCGGGATGGAGAAGCAGGCATCTAGTGATGAAGGACAGGACTACACCTGCTCGATTGTTGCTCGCGGCTCTGGGAGAGGCTGCCTGTTGCCACTGATGCCAGTAGAAAGTTGAAGTGTTGATCAGAGTAGCCTCTTCCAGCTTACTTTTGAGAACAGAGAGCCTTCTCCTCATACACTTCAATGAAATGACCAAGCAAGCTTACCTGCTGGTTCAACATTGCACAAGAAATTCCATCTTAAAGTACTCGGGTGATTAGGAGTCCTAATTCAATTGACATCCAAAGACAAAGAAAGATATCAAGCCATTTAAGGAAATGTGGTAGCTTAAAGAAAGGATTTGGAAAAAAAAAAAAAAAGAAAGAATATGTATGTATATATGGATGGATATGTATACACGAAAAATGAAATGAAAAACCTTAAAACACAGCAGTAGAGGGCAGAAAAAGAGTTTCTGGAAGTTAAAGTAAAACTTGATTGGAGATTTTAAAAATATCACGGAAAAAGTTATAAAATCATCACAGATGAAAAAACAACTTAGGCTGTAAGGTCAAATAGAGAGCATATTTCATAACATAGAAAAATATGCAATGAAATAGATGATGAATAAAAAATAAGAAATACTAAGGCACATAGAAGAGACCAAATATGGTCTAGACGCAAGCTAGAAAGTTTTAAAATAAACAAAAAGTGAAGAAGCAAACATTTAAAAGATTATTTTCTTAAAATTCCAAGCTATAATAAAATTTGAATTTTCAAATTTAAAATGGTGAGTGAGTTCCAAGAAAACTTTTTTTTTTTTAAAAGAGGCACACAGGAGGGAATGGGCTAGATGGGGGATGGGTATTAAGGAGGGCACCTGTTGTGATGAGCACTGGGTATTGTATGTAAGTGATGAATCACTGAATTTTACTCCAGAAACCAATATTGCACTGTATGTTAACTAAGTAAAATTTTAATGAAAAATAAATTAAAAAATTTAAAAAGAGACGTGCATATATACATATCCTAGAGACCTATTTGAACTAGTATAAATTTAAAATCATATAAATTTTTCAATATAATAAAAAAAGTTTTCTTAGGAAGAAAATTAGACAGACATCAGACTTCTCATTTGCAACCTTAGAATTTAAGAGAGTGAAAATATTTCTATACCTTTGAAAGATAAAGACTATAGTCCAAGAATCCTATTTCCAAATCAGACTCCAATACGTTTATAACATTATTTATTATAATTTTAAAACATGATAAAGAGCTTATATATCTAGCAGAAGTAAAACAGTTAAGTGAATTAGAATACATGCATATTATGGATTAATATCCAATACTTCAAAATAATGAGGAAAGTCCTTATGATATACAGTTAGGAGGAAAAATGGGAGAGGAAAATATCCAAGGGAAATAACCCATGGATAAACATATTGTGCTATATATCCATGCAGTGAAATACTACTTGGCAATAAAAACAAATTTGAAGAACATGCAACAACATGAATGAATCTCTGGAAGAATATGCTGAACAAAGAAGCCAGACACAAACAAATCACTGCATAATAATTTTTACATGAAATTCTAGAAAAGGCAAAATTAATTTATAATGACAGAAAGCAGATTAGGGGTTGCCTGGGAATGGGGGTAGAAATGCAAATTTGATAGCAGACGGTCATGAGGGTACTTTTGGGGGGTGATGGCAATGTTCTATATCTTGGTAATGGTGGCCATCGCCCTGATGTATGCATGTGAAGTCATGCATACACTTAAGTGTACACAGTACACTTAAAATATGTATGTTTCAACGTATGTAAATTATACCTCAAGGAAGTTGAGTTTTTTCTTGAAGATTTATTTTAGAGAGAGAGAGAGCTGGGGGAGGGGCAGAGGGAGAGATAATCCCAAGCAGACTCCCTACTGAGCACAGAGCCCAACATAGGGCTTGATCCCAGGACCCTGAGATCATGACCTGAATCGAAATCAGGAGTCAGCTGCTCAACTGACTAAGCCACCCAGGCGCCCCAAGGAAGCTGAATTTTTAAAAGCTATCATTAATACATATATGGGAGATAAGGGTACAGACAAATTTGTAAAAATAGCTATTTTTTTGACTCCTGGAATTCTAATTGTTTTTTAATAGTTTCCCCAAATTTACACTATAGCTCTACATAGCTCTTAACATATAATAAGTACTAGCTTTAAAAAGATGCATCCATCTTTTGCAATATTATTTTTGTCATTAAACTCATGTCTGTGGAGAAGATTTAATAATACAGAAAAATCTCATGGTCTCTCTAAGGAAAAAGCAAAAC